CCACACACACACATTTTCATGCGAAATCGTAACTTTCTTCATGATGGTATTGCAAACTGTGATTATGTTGCTATTGCGCTCTTTGTTTCTTCCCCCAGCTCTGTGGACCGCTCCCAGATACAGTGGAGACCCTTTGACGAGTGGCCGCTGTGCATAAAGATAGCAGATTTCTTATGAATGGAAGGCACCGCGCCTTTACCTGCCACCGTCCTGCGCCTGTTGAGATCGGAACTTTATTTCTTGTAAGTTATTTCCTGACATACTGCCTTAACTCAACTCTCACGCTTCTTAGCTGCATTCCAGAGTTTGGATTTTCAGGGTGAGTTTGTCAGATAATAATTTAAATCTGTGGGTTTTTGTTGTTATTTTTTAAAGTGTTTATGTTTGGACTTTAAAAAAATATGACATAACTATGAAGTAAGCAGTTGCTGGGTGTGGTTTGTCAATTACAGTGAGACACATAGACATCACAAAAACGTTGCCAGAGTTCATGGAGCCCACGACAGTGGACACATTGACCCCTTTCCACCCCCACCCACCCACCACCTCCCTCCTTTTTTAAAAATTCTAATAAAAAACAAAATTCCAGGAAGGCTGAGAAACGTTGGGATCCCTCTCGAAGGAAGTGAGACTTCATATATCCACGAGCTGGCTGAATTCAGAACCAACTGCACAATTGGCTGGGCGTTCTTGCATTACAGTACCAATAATATTGGGAATGTCTGCCAACTTTCCACGCCCTCCTCTCCGCACCTCATTCTTTTTATTGTATCTTCCATAATCAGCCTCCATCCCCTCATAATCACATTATTCCCCTGACGCTTAAAACAAAAATGTTGACATTCATTGAAATCTTTTGATCAGCCTGGCCGTCAGTACCCTCAGACGAGGGCTATCATGACGAAAGGCTAGGACCAACACTTTAGATCAGACAAGTGCATTGATTTCTTTTGCAGGCTTCAGCCAGCCAAGCCGGCCCGCATAGTTCCATCGACGTTGTGCAAGCGGCTGAGTATCCCTCAAACCGCGAGAGTTGCAGCATAAATACAGGACCCGCATCCATTCAAAACAGGAGAGTGCTCGCGTATGCAGACACAAACATCTCCATACGATTTCGTCGATAATTGGCTTCCTGAATCATAAAGTCATTTCGACGGAACAGGCCTTGCGGGGGGAAACGCAGCAAAAATAGAACCCCCCAAAAAGTCTGGAAAAGAGGAGGCAAATGCTGCAAGGATTTTTTACCCCCTCAAAGGATACGGGAAAGCTCGAAGGATAGAGCAAGTGAATTACAATGGAGCATACGACGTACACATGCTCTGTGGGTCATTGAGTCCTTAAAACGTAAAATTTATCAGAACTGGAAGGGAATAATTATTGCCCTACATGTCACGCCAAAAAAAGTGTTGGAAAGCAATGCAAACAATGCCAAGAGAACGCGGCGGTCATGGCACAGCGTCGAGGTGAGCTAAGCCTTCCAATATTATTTATGGTCGTCAGATCGCAAATCGACTAAATCGAGCGCTGAGCGCTTGAAGCCTTATCCAAGTACTCCAGCTTCGACGTGCATTATCGTGACGTCGATTGTCGCCCTTTGGTAATCAGCACAGGAAGCCCTTGTGGAGTGGAGGCAATATACAAGGAATTTATGTAACTTAAGGGGGGCCGGGGGCCTGCTTGGGACTTGATCACAGCCAATAATCAAACAGGAGGCGAACAATAGATTACAGGTGTTCAATACAGGACTCGCGCTCTCACATCTCTCTACGCCTCCAAGTCCGGACACAATCGAATATTTTAACGGCCTCAAGCTAGGTGTAAGACACTCGGTTTTATATGGTTCGTGAGTCTGCTTTTCTAAACATCTTCTCGTTTGGGAAGATCTTTGTGTGTAGATGATACTTTTTAAGACGAAGTTACACCTGTGAATTCGATCAGCCTATTTGAAAACGGTTTCTTAACACCTTTTCTGTCGTGTGCTGACCTGGGGAATGAAAGTAGTATTTATAACGCAGGAAATATATTTGGCACTATTGTGAAATACAACCATATTCATCCAATCAGCCACTCCTTGCAGGAAACGAAATTCTCAATGTAGTTAGATACGTCATTGTGAATCCGAAGAAGTGATAGATTTTGTAGACTGCGTGAAATCTAAGGTAAAGACACTGGTATTATATCCAATCACAGAGTTACCTTCATACCGGTCTTTGTTTCCGAAGGATTGTGATCAACGAAGCGACTGACACATGTGACATGTGTATGAATAAAGACAAGTTCGGACATGTGAGTGAACAAAAAAAAACCTGTGTAGATAGACATTTCTAACCTCGGTCTCCCGATCTGCTGCCATTATGCCAAGTCAAGAAGCTCCCAGCTACAGCTCAGCCAGGGTACAGCGGGCCACCCGCATCAACAACATTGAAGCCGCGAGGTTACAGCAAAGACTACAGTACATTGAGAAAGCCAAACTACACCAGTGCCGACTGGCTAACCAAGTGAGTCGAGGGGATAGATAGATAGATAGATAGATAGATAGATAGATAGATAGATAGATAGATAGATAGATAGATAGATAGATAGATAGATAGATAGATAGATA